AAATACAAAAAAAAAATAATAATAATAATAAGGTGACGAAATACAAGAAGAATAACCATGCAGAAAACAAGTCTCCATTTCAGTTCAAAAATTCGGTGTTAGTTTTTCACTTGAAATTTCTCTGTAGAACTTTATCAAATTGAAATTTCTCTATAAAACTTTATTAAACTGAAATTTCTCTCTGTAAAGCTTAACAACTGAAGCATGAGCTAGGAAAATGTGGTGTGTTCAGCAGTTCGTGCATAGAAATACAAAAAAAAAGGTGACAAAATACAAAAAGAATAACCATGCAGAAAACAAGTCTCCATTTCAGTTCAAAAATTCGGTGTTTGTTTTTCACTTGAAATTTCTCTGTAGAACTTTATCAAACTGAAATTTCTCTATAAAACTTTATCAAACTGAAATTTCTCTCTGTAAAGCTTAACAACTGAAGCATGAGTGAGAAAAATGTGGTGTGTTCAGTAGTTCGTGCATAGAAATACTAAAAAAAAAAAGTGACGAAATACAAAAAGAATAACCATGCAGAAAACAAGTGTCCATTTCAGTTCAAAAATTCGGTGTTCGTTTTTCACTTGAAATATATCTATAGAACTTTATCAAACTGAAATTTCTTAAAACTTTATTAAACTGAAATTTCTCTTTGTAAAGCTTAACAACTGAAGCATGAGCGAGGAAAATGCGGTGTGTTCAGCAGTTCGTGCATAGAAATACAAAAAAAAAAAAGGTGACGAAATATATAAAAAATGTGAAAAAGGTGGTAGTTCAACTAGCTATACAAAAAGAATAATCATGCAGAAAACAAGAATCCATTTTAGTTCAAAAATTCGGTGACGGTTTTTGACCTAAAATTTCTCTATAAAACTTTATTAAACTGAAATTTCTCTCTGTAAAGCTTAACAACTAAAGCATGAGCGAAAAAAATGTGGTGTGTTCAGCAATTCGTACAAAAGAAAAAAAAAAACCTGACAAAATACAAAAAGGATGTAGAAGGTGATGGTTCAACTGATTTCAACCCATGAGACAATTGCCAAAAAAATGTGATATGTTCAGCAATTCGTACAAAAGAAAAAAAAAAAAAACCTGACAAAATACAAAAAGGATGTAGAAGGTGATGGTTCAACTGATTTCAACCCATGAGACAATTGCCAAAAAAATGTGATATGTTCAGCAATTCGTACAAAAAAAAAAAAAAAAAAACCTGACAAAATACAAAAAGGATGTAGAAGGTGATGGTTCAACTGATTTCAACCCATGAGACAATCTGGGCTAGCTGTGCACCGACACGTCATCCCTCCACTGTTGAGAGCGGGAGATTTTCGCTGCTCTGTGAAACCAGCCTCACGCATTGCCCTCCGCTCTAAGGACCACATGGCCCAAGCTTAAGCCCGAACCACGGGGCCCAACTCTCAACTTGGAACGGGCGAGCCAGCAAATTGCAACAGCAGGACCTGTCAAATGAGTCGAACCGGTGTCCCACCACCTTGGTGCCCCCACTTGGGTTACAAGCTAGAGTGACTTAGCTCGGCGAACAGTGCACAAGTGACTTCGTATATAAAGCACTGTTTTTATATTGCCGTGGTCGATGTGGTACAAATTAGTACAAATGCAAACAAAATTCAACTGAAATTCTCATTAGAAACCTACGGAATTCTGGATATACAGATTCAACAAACTTATCTATAATAATATAATAAGATAATGTCGTAGTGTAATGAATTTTTTTGAACAGATTGTTTACCATTTTTTATTAGTTCGTCGATGAAGTTGTTGTAGTGATCGATGTCCTATTAATTTACTCCACCACTCAAGATTCCGTCTAAACATTGTAAATTTCGAACAGAGCAAAAATTTTAGCAGATATTAAACATAAACATGCAGCTTCCATGAAACTGCTTATTAGCAGACAATAAATCTAGGTAAAATTATGATTACTTATTAGAAGAATCTGGGTCAAGAGAGGGGAAATTTGTGAGAATCAACTCCAAGCTCCTTAGAGCCTTCACCTCATCCTATAATTAGAAATATTTTTGGTCAAATCCTATGCCGAAGACGAGAGAAACTTAATTATCACCTTGTATCACTTTGTATGAATCGATGGCTGTAAACATGTTCGTGTGGTCTGCAATCCGTTCTAAATGTAAACAAAACAGAATGAGCATATGAAACTGTTGAAATTTTTTAGATTGATGGGCCAGGGGAGCCTCAAACCAACGACATCGATACTGTCCCCAACTTTACCACCTGTCCAATTCGTCAAGTGTAGAGTTGTAGCATAAAATGTCCCCAACTTTACCACCTGTCCAATGTGTCAAGTGTAGAGTTTTACCATAAAATGTCGCGGTATTAATTAGAGTAGGATAATCATATTTAGAGTCACCATTGTTGACTTTCCTCGCGGTATTAATTAGGTATTAATTAGAGTAGGATAATCATATTTAAAGTCACCTAGTTTTCTGAGACTATGTCTTCCACATGTAAATGGTTAAGTTGATAACTGTGAATAAGTTTTTATGTTCCACAATTAACTTACACCTTCCATTTGTGCAGCAGCAGTAGTGACTCCGAACACGAACTCACTAGAAAGGTCGGACCTCTTGACATCAAGTTCTTTAGGTTTGATGCATTTTCCGCAGAAACTGCAACGGTTGATCAACACATCCACTGAAGTTTAGTCCCTTTTTTTCTTGCACTTTAAGTAATGACCATGTCAATTTTTTAAACCCTAAATTTTCATGTTTCAGTGGCCTAGTACAGGATTTTTTAAAAGTAATGAAAAACATCCTGAAGATTTGTTTTCGCGATGGAAAATTTGTGCTTTCAACATATATTTACTAAGAATTATTTGAAGACAAAAAACATAGGATGTGCAAGAATATATCAGATTAATCCTATACAAAAACCCTAATTTTAATCCTTAATCACTCTTTTTTATCAGATTAATTAAACTTAACCCATCTTACACAAGAACATATAGGACCTCTTCTTGTTTAGCCATGGACAAAGAACCAACTAATTGAACAAGAATTAAACAGTATTATTTATTTATTTATTTCTTGGTTAACAACAAAAAACAATTAACAAACTGATAAAATGGTAACTATTCTAGGATATTAGATCGCATGCGTGCTTAATTTCATGGTTAATATGTTATTATGTTGATGTTCTGAAATCTCGGGGACAGCTTCGTACATTAATCTAACTAAAAGTAGTTAAAGCAGTTTTTACAGAACTAATCCAACATTTAAAGTGTTCTTAAATCAACACTAAAACCTTGCAACAAAAACAAAAGCATATGGTACAATATTGGATAGAGTGTTGGGTTTCCACCCATGCGTCCAGAATTCGAAACTCCCATCATACGGCACAACTAAATTATATTTATTTTATAAGAAATGATAATTTATTCGACAAGTTTTAATTATACATCAAAAGAAAATTTTAGAATGATTGTGATTGTAGGAAGCCTTTAAAGGAAGGAATCACTATTTTTTTAATAAAAATAGGGAACTGTCTATTTTTCAAGTTGCACTTGCACCTCATACATCATCCTTGCAAAATATTAGCCAAATTAGAAATATTTAAGACATCTAATTGGGTTCAAAAAATTTAATGAATATTTTGTTATATAAGAAACAATGAAAATTTATCTTGATAATTAAATAGGCAAATGATTTTGGATTGAATTTTCACAAGGGTGATTTATGAATCAAGACTTACAACTAGACAATTCGTATCGTTGAAGTTCGATGTACAATGGGCCCCACATCTAGTCCCAATTTTTTAGAAAAAATGGGAATCCCTTTGCATAAAGGGCCTATGTAATTGTATTCTTATCCTAGCAGTCATTGTTCAACTCTAACTAAATAGGAAGAAAACTAATTGCACGAGATTACATTATACGGTTTTACTATTACATATCGGTTAGAAATACTATACAAAGTCAACCATTTCAAGATAATATAAATCTAGAAGAAAACTAATCATATTGCAATATTGAAGAGAAACCCACCCAAGCCTATATAACCCACAATAACAAAGTTCTAATGTAACCAATAGTTGTAAACCCTTAAATACCGCCACCAATTGAAGTTGCCCATTTATAAGTCTCATGGTATCTCGCTATAAAGAACTTCAAAACGATTAATGCATTTGTAATTTTCGTCGTGATTGTGATTTGGCTTTGTACTACAATCGTGACACTTTCTTCTAAGTTACCTGTTAAATTCAACAAAAAATCTAAAAATATTCATCTATTGTCTTTTAGTTGCCTACAATATTTTACATGACAAAATAAAAGGTTGAAGATGTGCATTTAGCAAATTAATCATATGGTTTGAAATTGGACATGATACCACTGTTTATCTCACCTTTGAATAAAATCCGTCGTTTTAATCTGCAAAGACACAAAATTTTCATTTCCTCGATAAAATAGTTGTGATTGTTTGGTAAGTAGGTGCTTTTCATGACAAAAGTGTTTGAGAAAAGTGTGCCAAGGTTCTCAATAGATAAAAAGTTGGCTTATTTTTAGTTACATCTTTTAAAACTTGATTTTAATTTCACTTTACTCTTTGTAACTTAAAAGTCGTCACTTTATTTTCTAAAACTCAATGTTTCCTTCATTTTGCCTCTTAGAACTCGATTTTGATTTCATTTTGCTCCTTGAAACTCGAAAGTCATCTCTATAAAACTTAAAATTTGCTCTACATTGCCTTAGATCTGTTAATTTCTCATGTGGGTTTGATTTGAATGCAGCAGGCTAATTTATTTTGTTTTCATCTCTTCAATTTCTTTTAAACTTAATATTCTTTTATTGTTGAATATCAACGTGTAACAGAGATTTATAATCAAATTTATATCAATGTGGCATGGTATTATTGGATGGTGGATCCCACATATTTGAGAAGACGACCTATAAGTTTCAAGAACAACACTGAGTCAATAAGTCAAAATGAAATGAAATTTGAGCTTCAAAAGTGACTTTTAAGTTACAGAAAGCAAAATAAGATCAAATGTAATTTGCGTAGCTAAAAATAAGTATAAAAAGTTCTTGCCTGTTGTCTATCAAATGGGCCGAGCCCCATTTTACAGACGTAATCTTTTTGCAATTGTTTACGCTTTATTAACAAAAAACCATTCACTCATACTTCTTGTTGAACACTGATTCTTCACCTAATAAGAAGAAAAAATACAGAAGTTGATTGGTTTGCTTGCTATACAAACAAAGCTATACTCGTCCGAAGGTTCCATCGGCCTCGGCAATTTGCACGGTTCTTATATACAGTAGAGTCAGAATTCACAGCTGAGATTCTACAACAGGGAGGAGTGCAGATGTAACGAAGCCAACAGCCCCTTCCAAGTCTCCCCGGGTGCACTACTCACTTGAAAGTCGAGAAGCTTATCCCGTTTCTTGTAGTAATCTTCCAATGGCTTACTCTGAGTACACAGAAAACAGGAAATGTTAACAAAACGTCATCTCCGTTTCTACTTTTTAAATAATCATGTACGCAAAGTATTATGGCAGTGATACGATACTAATCTAAAAACATATTTCCCCGGCATTATATTAAAGCTCGTCATTTTCTGTCACTTTAAAGACCACTCTAAAATGAATGAAACAAGAACTTGGAAACAATGCACAAAAAATAAGAGGCATGGCAAGTCATCAACGAAAGAAGGAAAACTTGGAACCCGCTTTTTCCTTAGAAAAAATAGATGTGGCGTAGTATAGAGTTACGGGCAGGGGGACTGAACAACAAAGAACCCTGCAACACATAATGTAACTTCCGGTAGCTCACCAAGAGGAACCAGCAAAATAAATAACGTATCTTAAAAAAAATTCTGAGTTTTGACTTCAAGAATTTCTCAGCGTCGGAAATTGGTGATCCTTCGCAGTCCTAAATCTCTACCGGGACAGAAAATATTTACGACTGGTATACTAGCCGAGGAGAACTGAGACTTGAGGACTACCTGCTCAGCAAAGATTCGAAGTTTCTCCCTCCAGGCACCCTCTGCATAAGCAGTGGAGGATTTCAAAATTCGTACCAAGGTAGCAGTTGTTCAAATCAAATCATGACATTCAAGGCAACAAAATTAGATACTACCTCTTTCGTGTTCCGCCAAGCAATGCTCTGTGCATTTGAAATTCACAACTAGATCAATCTCAATGAGTTCGGAAAGAATTTCCTGACAACAAAGATCAGAAGTCCAAACGTTATGCAGAATTAACACCATAAAAGGCCTTAGATTTGATGATCACACTTGTCTTCCTAATAATTTAACAAATCTATACAACGTCATTCATATGAAAACTAAATCTTCCGTAGCGAAATACTTACGGCTTGAATCCGGGAACGAGGAAGTCCATCCAGTATAAATCCACTTTCTCCTCTGCAATACCCATCTTCCAATCTCTTCGATAACAACCCGAATATGATTTCTTCCGGAACAAGCTCCCCTCGATTCACAGCATTCGCAATCTAATTCACACATTTCACAATTCAAAACAATCAATTAAACAGAAAACAAAAGCAGATTACATTACATATTAAATCCAAAGAATTCCAATTTTCAGAAATTAAATGAAAAAAAAATGAAATTAAAGAAGCTATTTTTCATAGTAGAAAGCAAAAATTGAGAGAGTGCGAAGAAAGGAGACCTGCTTGTAAAGCGAAGAACGAGGGTTGAGGTCTTGGCGGACGAGGCCGGCCATGGAAATGTGAGGAACTTCTAGAAGCTTCGACAGCCTCTCGGCGTACACGTGTTTCTTGGCGATCGGACTGCCTATGAAGGCCCACTGCACTCCTCGTACAGGAACCGAGCCCTCCGTGCCGGCCACCGGAAGTTGATCGAGGCGCGGCCCGCGGTCGTCTCGGTGGGCATAGTAGTAGTCGTGATCGAAGTGAGGCTGAGCCGCGGCGGCGGTGAAGAATCGGCTAAGAGCGAGTTTCAGAAGCCGGTACAGCGGTGGCGCGGCGGTAAAGCTGGCGGTGGAGGCTAAACGACGCGGTACGATCATGGCAGAGGGAGGGAGAGGTAGTAGGATTGAGACCCTGTAGACTGTGACTGTGAGTGGAGCTGAGCCGCTGAGACCGGGAAAGCGAGTTATGAGAGTTTAGAGCGGGAGCGCAGTAGGCTGCCACGTATGTGGGGCCCACAGCTACGAGGGCGAAGTTCTTAACTTCGTCCAACAGATTAAGAGATACCGTGAGATCGTTCCGCACACGGCCACTGCTATTGAAATTTTAATGGTAATTTTATACCTGTTTGTTAATATTTTTTTTTTTTAAGGATATTGTAAGAATATGCTAAAAAGTATGTTAATATGATGAACAAGTTTACCAAAAGAAGGAAGTTAAATTTGAACGGTTATTTTTTTTAAACTGTTATTAGCATTTTAAAATTTTTATTTTGCGTTTTTTACAATTGTATTTTTCTTTCTGATTATAGAAAGTCTATAGTGCAAAATAAGATTTTTAGAATACCAAGAATAATTTCTTAATTTTTTTAAAAAATAGATGAAATAAGAAATTACACGACCATGTACATTTATAATAGTCACAATGATATTTGATCAATATGTCGCTAATGGTAATTTAGTGTGTAGTCAATATTTGATTAAGTGACTTGAACGTTTGATTTTAATCAATTCAACAATTGAGATTCATAAAACTGTGAGTTATATACTCTTTGTTGTCTGATTTATGCCTTCTAGTGTTCTAAAGTCTCCACGTAGCACTGCCTAGGGCCTAGGTGGCTAACCACCTCCACAATTAATTATTTGGCATTTAAAAAATAACAAAATGACTCTTAGACTTGCCAAAGCGTCCGCCTAGGTCACGACTTTTACTTAAACAAATAATAGATAACTTGTATTTTATTTTTTTCATTAAATTGTATGAGACTTTTTTTTTAGTACATCGATATTTTTATACTAAGGAAGGGAGAGTTTAGCTAGACCACACAATAGGAAGCCTGTGACATCCCGTCCCGGAATTATCGGAAACGTACTTGTGAAATTACCATTTTACCCCTGGGTTGTTTTTGGATGTTTTGTGAGGTGTGGACATGTGTTGGGCCACACACCCACACCATCTCACTTTCCCTCACCCACTGTCTCTTTCTTTCTCTCTCTCTCTCTCTCTCTCCCCCCGAGTCCATTATTCTTCTTCTTCCTCAAACAAACGTACGGACACACACAAACCCACCCTAAAACGTCACAGATCGAGGGATCCAAGACCACCATCGTGCTCGTGAGGCTGAGAGGAGTCCAGTGGTACTATTTTCAGGTAAGAACTTCGACGTTTTCACGTCGAAATCGCCATGTCCGTTTTAGCTACTGTTCATGCAAACTCATTCTAGCTTGTTTTTGGACTTTTGAAGCTTGTAGTTGTGTTTGTGAGGTTCCCAGGAGCTTGGGAGTGCTTCGTTGGACAAGTTTGGACGTCGGGAAAGCTTGGTTCGAAGTTGGCCGAGTTTTGGAACCTTGGACAGGTATTTTCTCGTAGTTTTAGGCCTTAAAACTTGTAGGATCGTGTTCTACTAATCCTAAGGGTTAAAATGGTGCAAAAATCTTGAAAAACGGTTGAAAAACGAGCGAGAAAACCTAAGTTGCAGGTTTTCCGGCGACGGCGCCGGCGCCGGCGAGGGGGGATGGCCGGAGAAGACAAGGGAATATTCCGTTGGGGTTTAACGGAATATTCCTAACGGACGTTGACGGCGTCAGTTAGGGTTAACGGAATATTCCGTCAGTTCAAGGGAATATTCCTGACGGCGTCACTTGACGCCGTCAGTGTGCTTAGCATGTGGCCGCGCGTGGGGGCGCGTGGGTCCGTGTCTGAGCTGGCGCGTGGGGGCGCGTGGCAAGTCCAAAAATTATTTTAAAAATATGGTTGTGATCGTGAGGTTGTGTAGATCACGTTGGTATATTCATTTGTCCATTTTGAGCAATGTATGAGAAGTTATTTTGAACGGACGGTTATGTACTTTAAAGTTAACGTTTTTATAGTTAATTCGCATATAAGTGACACGTATCCCGAGGACGAGCGTGCACATTCGAGGCAGGGGGGCTACGACCCTTCCACATACCAGTGAGTGGGCTTTTGTTTTCCGTATACACCTATATACATATATATTCCCAGAAAGTAGTATGAATGCTTTGTTTTATGCCATTCTTTTTATATGATTGATGATTATGCATGACTAGTGGCATACACTTTTAAGTACATATCCATTTATGATTTCATTATATATGTTGGTGCTATGGAGGCGTAGGTAAGTAGCCAGGTAAGCGTTATTTAACGATTGCATTAAATAGCGGTTAGAGGTGCTTAGAGAGCTCATAACCTGCACCCCCGGTGTTAGTGCTCCCGCCCAGAGTAGGGCACAGTCCTTCACGTGTTGTTCACCTCTCGCACCACACGCTCAGCTTGGATTCAAGTTAGGTGCACAGTCCTGTCGTACAGACCACTATAGGTGGTTCCGACTCGTAGGTGACCCGCGATTATTCGCACAGCCTTCACGTGATCGTAGCACTAGAGCGTTCATATGTATTGCACCCAGGCCTGTCGTACAGACCACTATAGGTGGTTCCGACTCGTGGGCAGGTTTAGTGATTTAGTCGAAATTTGAGCTCTAGATTCAGCCGTACAGGTCACTTAGGGGACTCCGGCTGCCAGTTTATGATGCTATTGATATGGTTTATATCTGAGCACATGCATGATATTATGAGGTTTTGTGATGGCATACCTGTGAGCATGATTGGCATACCCTTGAGCATGACTTGGCATATCTACGTATATATGTTTATTTCTGGGAAGTATACAAGTTTTACGGCGAGGGGTTATAATATGTTTTATGAAATGGTTTTCTAAGAGATTTGTTTTGCCCACTCACGCTTTTGTTTTTGCGCCCCTCCAGGTTCTAGTAGCTTAGCGGGTTCGGTGGTTTTCCCAGGGACGTCCCGGCATTCTGACAGACATCCACCTATGTAGGGTCGCCTTCAGGTGTACTATTGTCGTATCGTTTCTTTTGGACTGCTGTAGGCCTTAGGCTCTAAATTCAGTGTCTTAATTACGCTAGCACATATTCTATCACTCTATATTTGCTAGTTTTTAAATTATTCGCACTTTTATATTACTGTTTTTAGCTTCCGCACTGTGCACATGGCTACGTCACTTCCACGTGACGGCCAGCATGCCCTGATCTCGGTTGGGGTGTGTCAAAGCCTAATTTGATATCGAATTCGCCATTGATGAGGTTCGAAACTATGACCTCTCACTTCCAAGTGAAGAGGAATACCATCAAACTATAGTACTGAGTGGCTATTGTATGAGACTTGTTAGACTTGGATGAAAAGTAATTACATGCCCGTTCTACGTGTTTTGAATATATTCTCATACTTTATATTATATATCATTCTATTTGCAATTTATATTTCAAAACATTTATGTATTTTTTAATGTAAGTAGAATAATAAATTCAATTAAAATATAAAATAAATAAATAAACGATCTACGTCTCTGTCTAGATGACCACGTACTAGGCCCATACCCTCCGCCTGATTAATCCCTTTTAGAACCTTGATGTCTCCTAGTTTTATTTTTATTACAAATTTATAATAAATTCCATTGTGAAATTTAACAAATAAGCAAAATTCTTGTTTAAAACACGATTAAGGCCATTATATAATTACTCGCTTTCTGTTTATTAAAAGAAACAATTAGAAGTTGAATCACGATTAAATTCTTGTTTAAAACAACTGGCTAACATAACATTACAAACAAAAACATAGCCATTGAAGATTCGCCCTTCAAGCGTCAAGCATTGCTCGAACCCTAATCGGAAGGCCATACAGCCTAATGAACCCAGCAGCATCAGCTTGATCATAGATATCCCCGCTCTCGAACGACGAGATGTCCTGCCTGTACAGGCTGTATGGGCTCTTCCGGCTCGTCACAGTGACCGAACCCTTGTACAACTTCAGAGTTACTGATCCGGTGGTTGTTTTCGAGATTTCCTCCATGAACGAATCCAATGACTCGCGAAGTGGGTCAAACCACCTGCCTGCGTATACCAGCTCCGCGTACTTGAGGGCTAACGAGTCTTTAACTTGCATTGTTTCTCGGTCCAGTGTTAAAGACTCAAGCTCTCGTGCAGCAGCGAAGAGGATGGTGCCTCCGGGAGTTTCATAGACTCCACGGCTCTTCATGCCAACTAGCCGGTTTTCAACCATGTCCACACGGCCAATTCCGTGTTTTCCACCAATCTGATTTAGATGATCAAGTAGAGAGGCTGGTGAAAGCTCTTTCCCATTGACCGAAACTGGAATTCCTGAAACAATTCCGATTTCTACATACCTATAGGAAACGAGAGCATGGGTTAGAAATGTACTCAGCGTACACAGTAATAGCTAAAACACATATCAGGTGGAACTCACTCAGGTTCATTTGGTGCATCTTCTGGATCGACTGTTAACATGAACATATCCTTCTTAGGCTCATTCTCCGGGTCCTCCAAAATGTCACCCTTTGATCAATTCCATCATCATGAAGACAAACGGCAAGGGATAATTTTAGACCTCAATCAGAAAGATTTCATATGAAAAGTTGGCAATTTTCCAGACAAAAAAGAGAGTTGTAAGACTTTACCTCATGACTAAGGTGCCATAAATTGCCGTCTCTGCTGTATATGGATTTCTTTGTCACTGGGACAGGCACATTATGTTTCTTAGCGTATTCAATAGCATCTTCTCGGCCTGTAATATCCCATTCCCTCCAAGGAGCCACAACATTGAGTTTGGGATTGAGAGCGAAAAATGTCAGCTCAAAGCGAACCTAAACAGACAAGAGAGATTGTGTAAGGAGTACATGAGTTGTTGTAATATTAAACGCTTTGAATTGGAAGGCATGCCTGATCATTTCCTTTCCCGGTGCATCCATGAGCTACAGCATCAGCTCCAACTTCTTTCGCAACATCAACCATGGCCTGTTTCATCATTTGTATGAAATTTGTCCCCAAAAAATGTCATTGTATGAAGTAATAGTTATAGTATTTGGTCTAATGAGAACAGTAATAGATTTATCATGACATTGACGTGGTCAAAATTCTCAAATTTGCCTATGATTTTTTCAACTGATATTTCGATATAGAAATATCTCCTTATTTCTTCACCGCGGATTGAGCTGCTAAGGAGCTATACGCAGATCTATCAGAAACCAACCGGAGAGAATATACCTCAGAAGAGCATAAGCATTTCACAAGAAATTGAAAAGGTAGTATCTTTTTCTTTACATTTGTCTTGACTGTGGATGTATCAATCTACAGAGGTAATGAATTTATAACTAACAGAGCATTCCGCAGATCAAACTGAGAGATCACCTTAGCAATAACAGGGCGGGCCATTGAAGTCCCCAGCAAGTATTTCCTCTCATATATTGCACCTGCCCGCAAGCAAGGGAATATGTAGTCCTTTACAAACTCTTCCTTTAGATCCTGCACTACTAACTGAGAAGCCCCACTGGCCTTGGCCTTCTTTTCCAGACCATCCAATTCTTTTATACCCTAATGATTTGGAATAAGGTAGCAACCACGCAAGTCAAACCAGTAATGACTATCTTAAAGTACATAGCATGAAACAAGAAACTTTTGACTTTGAAGTAGATGTTGCTACTTCTAACTTACTTGACCAACATCGGCCGTGAAGCAAACAACATCACAACCATAGTTCTCCCTGCAAGTAAAAAAGTATCAAACAATAACGACAGAGTTAACAATCAGAATTGAAAGAACGCATATCAACAGTGTAGAATGCATCAATATGCATTAGCATTGAGTTAGGGAAATGGTGCCTGGAATACATAAATGAGGATGCATGCAGCACACAGGAGAACTAGAACTGGAATTCCAGTAATCTTTAATCAGACGTAGTTATGTTTGGTCCTTATCAGTTGCAGTCCAAAGAAATTATCTCAACGATTCTGTCACAGAGTATGACAATACAACAATCAAAGTATCTCAAAACCTATTGGAATCTTGATATGGGTGCAAATCATGCCTCTAATGCATGAAAGTTATTGTTCCTCAACAAAAGTCTAGAACTTTCAATATTTGAATCCAAACATAACGAGTTTAATACTCTCATGAGACATAAGCACTTGAAGGCCTTTTTGGGGAAGAAAAAACATGGGGCATACCTTAACCACGGAACAATGACTGATGTGTCTAAGCCACCACTATAGGCCAGGACAACCTTATTCAATTTGCCACGCAACCCTCTTTCCTTCGTGGATCCGGATACTTCTGTCTCACTGTAAGTGGGTAGCGCTGCTTTAACAGCTGCATACAAATGAAGGTAAATATCAGATTGGCATCTAACACTGAATACATTACAGAACGAATGAATGAGTGAGAACTTAGAAAATTAAATATGATATATAGGCATCTCAATAGCTCATTTATCTCTCTAACTATCTAACGTCCATGTGAAAGAACCTCTGATTAGGCAACCGCACCTTGCTTGTTATGAGCTCTTACACTTCCATTGCCACTTGTAACTGCAAATGCAGTCCCCTGAAGCTCACTCTTTCTTGCCCCCAACTGCAGAAACAGATTTAGAACAACCCCAATTAGCAAACGAGAGAAATGCAAATTATTAACTACAGTATATTATAAGGAGAGGTAAAATTGATGTGCACAAAGCATTATCGATATGGTATAGCTACCTCTTGAAAAGAAGATAACCTCCCCGGACAACAAACTCTGCCATGAAATGTATATGATTCTGCTCATGCAACAAAAACAAATTATACACATTGATATCACAATACAGCACCAAATTGTAATCCAACTATTTCTCCATCAAAATTTAAGCATTTAAGTATCTGGGTACTGCTCATTTCTCCTCAAATTGTCTAAATCCAGAAAAAATTAAATTTTGTTCTTGAATTTAATCAGCCTCGCTACAGGAAAGTGAAAATGTACCTCTTTTGGGAGCGTGAAAAGTGAGATTGGCGGCGGAGCAGGCGGACATGGACTTCAATTGGGCCATGGTGGCGGCGGCTGAGATCAAATAGAAGTTAAACGGAGAAGAAGAGTAGAACTGCTCAGGAATAAGAAGAAAGGAAACTTACGTGATATGAGGTTAGCAGCGGCGACAACGGCCGATGGTGAGGAGTGGCGAACGGCAGACGGTGGTTTTGTAGTTTGAGTATCTCTGTGTGTGTGAGCGTCTCTCGGTTTAGGGTTTTATTGCAGAGGTTTATACCAAAAAACAAATTAAAAATTGGAAAAGATTAACCAATACGATGGTTTTTATACTCTGACTAAAATACCCCGCCCACCAAAAGGCTGCGTTTGCAGCAGAAAAATTCGATTTTTTACTTTCTCTTCCTACACGTGGGTATATTGACCTCATTTTTCTGGATCGTTGTGAGTGTATTGACTTATTATTTTCTTCTCTAGTGAAATATTTTTTCCTTGACAAAAAAATATTATCTATCATGAAAAAAATTGAGATTCTACCATCAAATCAATTAGTATATAGAGAGTAGCTCAATTTACTTATAAGCTCATGCAAGATCCCTTCTCTCATTAATGTGGGACTCATTCTCAACACGTTCTCTCATGCGTGGCGATTCTTCATGCCGAACACGTGGACAACATGACAGGGTGATGTGGAGCCTGTGTGGCCGTTTGGCTTCACATGTTGGACAACCTGCTCTGATACTATGAAGAAAGTTGAGGTTCCATCATAAAACCAAAGGTGGACGTGGCCTCACAATAGACAAGCAATAATATAGTTCAAATTCGTCTTTGGCGAAAATTGAATCTAAGACCTTTCATTTACAAATGAATATGAATACTACTAAAATGTAGTACTAAGTGGCCTAATGAAAATTTGAGGTTAGGAATTTAGCTCAAGCCATATATTGGACCGGTTATATTTAGTGAGAACATAGTAAATTCAATTTCAGTATTTCAATACTAAGTGGCCAAATGAAAAATTGAGGTTAGGAATTTTACAATTTAAGTATTTCTATATATTTGTGTACTTTTTAGTATAAGTAGAACATAATAAATTCAATTAAAAAAAGATCTAGATCCCTGTCTAGATGCCTAGGCATTAGGCTCCTACTATTTGCCCGACTAGCGCCTTTTAAAATCTTAATGTCTCCTAGCTTTATTTTAATTGCAATTTTATAATAAATTCCATTTGTGAATTTAACAAATAAGTAAAATTACTATCAACAATTACTCACATATTAAAGCCTTTATATGATTACTCGTTTTCTGTTTATTAAAACAAACAATTCGAAGTTGAACCACAATTAAATTCTTGTCTAAAACAACTGGCTAACATAACATTACAAACAAAAACTAACATAGCCATTGAAGACTCGCCCTTCAAGCGTCGAGCATTGCTCGAACCCTAATGGGAAGGCCATACAGCCTAATGAACCCAGCAGCATCAGCTTGATCATATATATCCCCGCTCTCGAACGACGAGATGTCCTGCCTGTACAGGCTGTATGGGCTCTTCCGGCTCGTCACAGTAACCGAACCCTTGTACAGCTTCAGAGTTACTGATCCGGTGGTTGTTTTAGAGATTTTCTCCATGAACGAATCCAATGACTCCCGAAGTGGGTCAAACCACCTGCCTGCGTACACCAGCTCCGCGTATTTGAGAGCTAACGAGTCTTTAACTTGCATTGTTTCTCGGTCCAGTGTTAAAGACTCAAGCTCTCGTGCAGCAGCAAAGAGGATGGTGCCTCCGGGAGTTTCATAGACTCCACGGCTCTTCATGCCAACTAGCCGGTTTTCAACCATGTCCACACGGCCAATTCCGTGTTTTCCACCAATCTGATTTAGATGATCAAGTAGAGAGGCCGGTGAAAGTTCTTTCCCATTGACTGAAACCGGAATTCCTGAAACAATTCCGATTTCTAGATACCTATAGGAAACAAGAGCATGGGTTAGATACATACTCAGCGTACGCAGTAAGAGCTAAAACACATATCAGGTGGAACTTACTCAGGTTCATTTGGTGCATCTTCTGGATCGACTGTTAACATGAACATATCCTTCTTAGGCTCATTCTCCGGGTCCTCCAAAATGTCACCCTTTGATCAATTCCATCATCATGAAGACAAACGGCAAGAGATAATTTTAGACCTCAATCAGAAAGATTTCATATGAAAAGTTGGCAATTTTCCAGACAAAAAAGAGCGTTGTAAGACTTTACCTCATGACTAAGGTGCCATAAATTGCCGTCTCTGCTGTATATGGATTTCTTTGTCACTGGGACAGGCACATTATGTTTCTTAGCGTATTCAATAGCATCTTCTCTGCCTGTAATATCCCACTCCCTCCAAGGAGCCACAACATTTAGTTTGGGATTGAGAGCGAAAAACGTCAGCTCAAAGCGAACCTAAACAGACAAGAGAGATTGTGTCAGAAGGAGTACATGAGTTGTAATATTAAACGCTTTGAATTGGAAGGCATGCCTGATCATTTCCTTTCCCGGTGCATCCATGAGCTACGGCATCAGCTCCAACTTCTTTCGCAACATCAACCATGGCCTGTTTCATCATTTGTATAAAATTTGTCCACAAAAAATGTCACTGTATGAAGTAATAGTTATATTATTTGGTCTAATGAGAACAGTAATAGATCTATCATGACATTGACGTGGTCAAAATTCTCAAATTGAGCTGCCAAGACCTCAGAAGAGCATAAGCATTTCACAAGAAATTCAAAAGGTAGTACCTTTTTCCTTACATTTGTCTTGATTGTGGATGTGTCAATCTACAGAGGTAATGAATTTATAACTAACAGAGCATTCCGAAAATCAAACTGAGAGATCACCTTAGCAATAAGAGGGCGGGCCATTGAAGTCCCCAGCAAGTATTTCCTCTCATATATTGCACCAGCCCGCAAGCAAGGGAATATGTAGTCCTTTACAAACTCTTCCTTTAGATCCTGCACTACTAACTGAGAAGCCCCACTGGCCTTCGCCTTCTTTTCCAGACCATCCAATTCTTTTATACCCTAATGATTTGGAATAAGGTAGCAACCACGCAAGTCAAACCAATAATGACTATCTTAAAGTACATAGCATGAAACAAGAAACTTTTGACTTTGAAGTAGATGTTGCGGCTTCTAACTTACTTGACCAACATCGGCTGTGAAGCAAACAACATCACAACCATAGTTCTCCCTGCAAGTAAAAAAGTATCAAACAATAACGACAAAGTTAACAATCAGAATTAAAAGGTCGTATATCAACCGTGTAGAATGCATCAATATGCATTAGCATCGAGTTAGGGAAATGAGGATGCATGCAGCACACAGGAGAACTAGAACTATCCAAATGGAATTCCAGTAATCTTTAATCAGACGTCGTTATGTTTGGTCCTTATCAGTTGCAGTCCAAAGCAATTATCTCAACGATTCCGTCACAGAGTATGACAAGAAAACAATCAAAGTATCTCAAAACCTATTGGAATCTTGATATGGGTGCAAATCATGGCTCTAATGCATGAAAGTTATTGTTCCTCAACAAAAGTCTAGAACTTTCAATATTTGAATCCAAACATGATGAGTTTAATACTCTCAAGAGACATAAGCACTTGAAGGCCTTTTCGGGGAAGAAAAAAAATGGGGCATACCTTAACCATGGAACAATGACTGATGTGTCTAGGCCACCACTATAGGCCAGGACAACCTTATTCAATTTGCCACGCAACCCTCTTTCCTTCGTGGACCCGGAGACTTCTGTCTCATGGTATGGATATGATTCTGCTCGTACAACAAAAACAAATCATACACAATGATATCAGAATATAACACGAAATTGTAATCCAACTATTTCTGCATCAAAATTCAGCATCTAAGTAACTGGGTACTGCTCATTTCTCCTCAAATTGTTCTAAATCCAGAAAAGTTAAATTTCTCGAATTTAATCAGCCTCAGTGCAGGAAAGTGAAAATGTACCACTTTCGGGAGCGTGAAGAGGGAGGTTGGCGGCGGAGCAGGCGGACATGGCCACGGTGGCGGCGGCTGAGATCAAATAGAAATTAAACGGAGAACAAGAGTACAATTTGCTGAGGAAGAAGAAGAAGAAGAAGGGAATCTTACGTGATCGGAGATTAGGGGCGGCGACAACGGCAGGTGGTGAGGAGTGGCGAGCGAACAGACGGTGGTTGTGTAGTTTGAGACTTTGAGTAGCTCTCTGTCGGCGAGCGTCTCTCGGTTTTGGGTTTTATTGTAGAGGTTTATACCAAAAAAAATTAAAAATTGGAAAAGATTAACCAATACGATTTTTTTTATACTCTGACGAAAATACCCACCCACCGTAAGACAGCGTTTGCAGCAGAGAAGATTCTGTTTTTTATTGTCTTTTTCCTACACGTGTGTATTTTAACCTCATTTTTTTGGATCGTTGTGAATATATTGACTTATTATTTTCTCCTTTAGTGAAAATATTTTCTTTTCTTTTGAATAAACGAGATTTAACTACACTAAGACTATTTTGAACCTTTGGAGTAAAATTTAAAAATTTTAGTCCAGAAAATTTAAGTTTTAACTCAAAACAATTTTTTTGCTTCAACCCTCATAGCCTAAAATTTTAGGCACAGATGATTAAAGAATGAATTTAGGCTAATTTTTTTTCAAATTAACTTAAAAAAGAATTATGTAGACATTAATTATGAAAAATTTAACCTAAAAAAATTTAAATTCAGATAAATATTGAAAACCACTGAATTTGGATGAATTTTGAGTTAAATAATATTTTTTTTAATTATTTTAGCGGTTGGATTTAAATTTAGGCCGTTAGATTTTTTTTTTTTTTTTACCATTATATTTGATTATATTCAATCTCAGCCATTTGATTCAATAAATATGTAAATTTAAAAAAAAAAATTTGAACGTGGATTATTAGATCAACCAATAACCCATTTAATGTGGCCATTGGATCACAAAAACTAGCTGTTAGGCTATTACGGCTACTGACACGTCGGGGATATGCCCACATGGGTGGGGTCCTGCTGGTGCTACGGCTGGCGTGTCTAAGAGTGCTTTTTGGGCGTTTTGGCTTCACATCAAGTTTTCCACTCTCACATGTGGGCTCCACCACTAATTTTAGGCTAAATCTTGGCTGATATTTGGGTTTTTTTTAGATTCTAACATTTAACCCAAATTTAGAACAAGGGTTGGAATGAAATGGGAGAATAAAAGGGAAATTTTAGGACTTACTCCAAGGGTTGGAGTTGATCTAAGGGAAAAAGGATAAACTTAGCTTCATAATGAAATAGCAATGATGTGCCAGTAAAAATATATTTGGATACTAAGAAAAATTGCAGTTAGGCTTTTAGTTCAAGCTATATAATGGAGTAGTTATAATTCAGTGAGAACAACTTGAAACGATATTATTATCTACACTAAAGGGACATGAGAGTTAGAAAAGCCGAACAATGAGTTAGTCATAATAATGTGTTTCACATTCGTCTTTGGTGAGAATCGAACATAAAACTTCTTACTTATAAGAAAAGAGGAATACTGTTAGATCGTAATATTAAGTGGCTTCTATTCCTATATATTTAGTTTTGACAGTTAACTTCAATAAATCAAAGAAGAATGAGAGATAAAAATTAATATGTGTGTAAAAACTATCTATATTTAGAAATATAGCCACTTAAAACTAGGCTTGACAAATTCTTGCATGACTCTATAACGCGACACAAAAATAATAGGTTTCAGATCAACTTGCTAATGTGTTGGATCGTTATCAGGTCAAAACATTAAATGAGTTTGACACGACACGATATATTAAAATAATGTATTTGACACGAATACGACAAATGTGACATGTTTCCATCTCTACCCATTGGCTTGGAAAATTATTGCACGACCAGTTAACCCGACATAAAACAACAACAAAAATATCAGGTTTTGAGTCATCCCGTAACGGGTCAGGCCATTACCTGTTAAGAGTCTGTTAAATAACGGATTTAACACGACAAGATCCGTTAAAATAACGAATTTGACACGAAAACAAAACAAACACGACAGACACAATCCGTTTGGCAAGCCAACCTGAAACCTTGATCGAGCAATGCATAGTCTTTTCTCACTCTTGAAGCTCCCTTCAAGCAATTCACTATCGTCTATAGGCCTTTTAAGCAATGTTCGAGTCCCCTTTAAGTGCTTAAAATTCTAAAAATCAGAAATATTGATATGATAAAAGTAATTGAAAAGGCAAGAGCTGACTGAAGAGAGTGGCTGGAACCGAAGCAAGGGAAAAACCTGATTTGTTTAACTTAGTTAGGCGGAAGAAGTTTTTTAAGGGTGCCTTCGACCACAAATTAAGTATCGAACTCGCCATTTATGATAATTGAACCTCAAACGACGGAATTGCTAGTTGACTATAGCACAGCCTTAACTAATAGTAAAAAACGAATACAACAAGAAAGAAACAGTTCTGCTAAGCTGGAAATCTTGATAACATTAACCTTATACTGGTTGACAAAATAAATAAACACATGGGAACAAAGATGAGTTGCAGATTTATGGCTGCTCTTCCTCCTGCTGCAATGGGGGGTTTTCAAGCATGGCAGTCTTGCTCTTTTTCGTCGAAGGTGAATCAATTTCGCTAGACTTGGGCCTCGACAATCTGCTCTCCATCAAGTCTAGCAAACGTGATTGCAAATGCCTGTTCATCTCCATCACATGCTTTGCCATTTTTGTCGCCCTAATTCGGTCCTCTAGACATGTTTCCAATTTCATCTCCATTGCTGCAACAGTGCCCTCTTTCTGCCCAAATTTCACAACAAAAATTAAATTGCATCTTGATCGGAGCTTAGGCATTTAGCACACAACATTACTAGCTAACCATCCTACGTGCAAATGAGAGAGAGAGAGAGAGAGAGAGAGAGAGAGAGAGAGAGAAACCTTCATGTCATATATTTGTTGGCATGAACCCGAGGTTTGGAAATTCACGGAGGGTTGGCATGATGGAAAAAGAGTGATTTTCTCCTCTGATGAGTTTACAGGTTGCGGATACTTGTCGAGGATAGAAACACCAAGTGCATTAGATAGTTTACGACGGTTTGACACTGGAAGCAACGAGGACTGTGGAATCACTGCCAGATTAGTCACAGGCCCTGTAAAATAGAAGAGACCAACAAGCATGACCGTATAAAACTCTACATTGTATAATTTGTATTTTAAAACAATGTGAATGCATATGATAGGACTATGAAACGCCAGTGTAGACTCGCAGATTATGACATATATGCATGCCTCTCAACGGTAATCTAATACACCACGAAAAATAAAAGTTAGCGGATTCAACCCTCTCAAGAAAGAGAACTGAAAACAAAAAATCAAAAGAAAAGAAGACCATCAGCGACGGTTACCTTTCTGATGGTTGAATCTTCGGATGATTTCACAACTGGTGATGTCCCAAATGCAGATGGTGCAGTCCTCAGCTGCGGATATCAGACCCGATTTGCTGAAGGTTAATGCGGTAACAGATCCACTGCAGGGATCATAGGTATGTAAGCAGACTATAATATGGAACAACACAACTGAATAACTCTTATTTTGTTAGAACCTAGTGGTATTTAATTTTTTTCTCAGATTCGAAACGAGAAAAAAAGAGAGAATCTAGGTTGCAACTTACAACTACATTGATACGACGCTGAAACAAAAATGAAATATAACAGAAAAGATTTCGTCGAGAAAAGGAGACGTTTATCTCCAATGATCTAAAGAAATAAACTTGAAAGACCATTGCATTACTTGTGTTCTTTTAGCACAGGTGAATGATCTTCAGCACCAACCAAATAATCCTCTACCAGTCCGATTTCAAGTTTGTTCACAAAAATGCTTCCGTCTATACTTCCGGAGAAAATTAACTGCTTCGTTGGGTGAAGAGCAACTGCAGTTATCCCTAGTGGATAAACTTGAGTATGCATGAGGTTTCCCAAGACTAGATCCCAAACCTAACAACAGATATATTAATCAAAAGAACAATTTGTTTTCAGTAAGAAGATAATCAATCAAAAGATACAATTTTCGGGAGCATGAACTAAAACGAGTTTCGAGACCTTGTATGAGCCATCAAGCGAGCTTGATATTAACACTGGACTTGAGATGCCTGACGTAGTTAACAGGCCGGTTATAGAAGATTTATGCTCCATTGAATAATGTAATGGTGACGGACAGCTTTCAACATTTTCCACGTCCAGCAAACTGCCATCAAAATGATTAAGAAATAGCACCCGTTTAGATTCTTGTTATCTGAAAATTTTTGTAGCATCTAAAAAGTGATGAGGGCAAATCCAAAGTTTAGTCATTTACCTAATCAAGTTCCACACACATATCATCCCATCATCTGAACCAGAAACAAGAAGAGAACCATCATCGGAAAACAACATACAGCTCAAAGATTTATCATGACCATGCCAAGTTTTGAGCAATTTTCCGTTAGCAACCTACATATCACTTCATTGTAATCAGGATTCAGGACTTTCCTCTTTACCTTGTCACACATTTTGGAAAAAAAAAAAAAAAAAAAAAGCAGAGGAATTGGTGGCAGTTATTACAAACCTCCCAAAGGTAAGTGTTTCCAGAAAGAGCGCCGCCTGCAAGATATAGACCATCCTTTGTGCAAGAAAGTGGCCCAATTGGCTCCAGCGGGTAGCTCTGAATAGGCTTCTGAGGCTGCGAAAATGTTGCATACAACAAACCAAATATGATATGCATAAGAAAGTGCTATTGCACCAATAACCATGTCGTTTACACAAAGAATATGTAATCATCGATCATTCTTGCGGTTCAACCACGCGTTAAGCTACCGATGTTTGCACAAAACCTTGGATATTCTTTTGATCGGCACCTCCAGTTAAATAGTTTGTCAAACTACACAGAACATAAGATTAAATACAAATATGAATTTGTGTCCAATGTGATTTTGGGCTTTAGAGGTGAGCAATAGCAAACCTTAACTAGACCATATAATCCATTCTAATCAATTCGTTCTCTTTCAGGCATATTTTCGAGTGTCTAATCGTCATTAGGCCTACATTTACACATAATGAACAGAGACAATTGCGATTTTGAAACCCCATGGTTAAACTACGGAACCATATTAACACTTCAAACATATCATCCTACACAGATCCATCATCAATGTCAATTTCCCCCTTATGTTTTATGGGGAAGGAGCACAAAATGACCATTTTGGAGTTGGAGTGCCGGAAAGATTCTTTTAGAGTGCCAGATTACTCCAAACTAATAATAATTCCAACAAAACAATATACAAGAAAATCAAATAACCCATTTGAGATATAAAAAATATGCGTTTTCCCAATTTAAACCTCAAATCCATATGATCAAATCCATGTATGCATACATGAAAATCAAATTTACATACCAATTTACAGGAGAAGACAATCAAATTTTTGAGGAAAAATACTTCTCACACACTTATTTTTTCCTTCTGCACACCTCTATTTATTCATGTCCCCAGATTCTCCTTTGATTTACTCAATCCAAATCCAATGGCCGCAAGGGTGTGTAGGGAAGAAAAATAGTGTACGGAAATCATTTCACATTTTCTATTCTAGTACAAGACAATTGAAATTAAACAAACTCCTATGGTTGAAATTGAGTCCAAAAGTTCCGAGAATTACCTTGTTCAACTTCCACATAGAGATGGCGCCGCCGCCAACAGAGCCAGGTTTGTGAATCTGAGCAGCTACAAGGAACTGGTTTCTCAAGCACACAAGACCACGAGCAGGAGAAGCGCAGGTTGGTATGTGAAGGAGTCGATCCCCTGTGTCTATGTTCCATATAGTTATCCCTGTTCCCATCCTCTTGTCACTGCACACAGCCACCGCCTCACCGCCACCACTTCCCATCTCTCTCTCTCTCTCTCTCTCTGTTCTGAATTTGCAAAGAGAGATGCCGAGTTTTATAGAGAGTTTGTGATTATATGAGGCACATTGCATGTAAAAGGGCTTTAGTCTGTGGGTGTGCATGGAACGAGTGACGCATGGCACGTAAAAACGTGGAAAAGAAAATTCTAGTTGGGGATTTGTGTTCCTTTTTTATTGCAATGCTCGTTCTAGCCCTTTGATGCTTGGATAGAGAAATTTTTTAGTGTACCAAAAACGCAACCATGTAATATCATTATTTTAGATATTATAATATAATTTGAGTTAATGAAATAATTAATATGTATCAATTTTAAAATATATTATAATTAATAAACAAATATATACACATTTTATAATTTAAGTGGAAATAGTAATATCACATGATAGCGTTCTGAGTATACTAAAAATTTACTCGTGTAAATATCACAATGACGTATCTAGAGCCAATTAAATTAACCACTGCTATGTGTTATAGATTTTCCACGTGACGTGTGATTGGGTTTAAATACTGTCACTACGGTAGCATCGTGTGATTTTTCTCGTGAATGGGTTTATGTTATCCAAGTGGTCGACATGCAAATAAATGATTTGGTAGCTATACCCAATAAAGGGGAGACACGTCAACGCAATTACTGAAGTGGTCACTTGATGAAGAAAAATGATTTTTTGACTTTACGTCCACGTTTAGGTTTGAAAAAAAAAATCATTATAGACTAAAAGTGATCCACACGAACTATCAAAGCTCCTCCCATTTTTATTGGATAGTGCTATTAACACAACTGTCACATCCCGGCCCGGGGCGGATCACTTCCCGGGCCCGCTCCACCACCGTAGCACGATATTGTCCGTTTTGGGCTTACCATTCCCTCACGGTTTTTGTTTTTTTGGGAACTCACGAGCAACTTCCCAGAGGGTCACCCATCCTGGGAGTGCTCTAGCCCTCTTCTCGCTTAACTTCGGAGTTCCTATGGAACCCGAAGCCAGTGAGCTCCCAAAAGGCCTCGTGCTAGGTAGAGATGGGAATATACATTTAAGGATCGCTCCCCTGGGCGATGTGGGATGTCACAATCCACCCCCCTTGAGGGCCCGACGTCCTCGTCGGCACACACGCGACCAGGGTTAGGCTCTGATACCAAATTGTCACATCCCGTCCCGGGGCGGACCACTTCCCGGGACCACTCCACCACCGTAGCACGATATTGTCCGCTTTGGGCTTACCATTCCCTCACGGTTTTGTTTTTGGGAACTCACACGAGAACTTCCCGATGGGTCACCCATCCTGGGAGTGCTCTAGCCCTCTTCTCGCTTAACTTCGGAGTTCCTATGGAACCCGAAGCCAGTGAGCTCCCAAAAGGCCTCGTGCTAGGTAGAGATGAGAATATACATTTAATGATCGCTCCCCTGGGCGATGTGGGATGTCACAATCCACCCCCCTTAGGGGCCCGACGTCCTCGTCGGCACACACGCGACCAGGGTTAGGCTCTGATACCAATGTCACATCCCGGCCCGGGGCGGATCACTTCCCAGGCCCGCTCCACCACCGTAGCACGATATTGTCCGCTTTGGGCTTACCATTCCCTCACGGTTTTTGTTTTTTTGGGAACTCACGAGCAACTTCCCAGAGGGTCACCCATCCTGGGAGTGCTCTAGCCCTCTTCTCGCTTAACTTCGGAGTTCCTATGGAACCCGAAGCCAGTGAGCTCCCAAAAGGCCTCGTGCTAGGTAGAGATGAGAATATACATTTAAGGATCGCTCCCCTGGGCGATGTGGGATGTCACACAACTATTTTAATTCCTCACATATTCTTTTTAATTTTTGACCGTCGAATTGAACGAATTGAATAAGATCAATTATAAAAAATAAACAAATGTGTGGAAAATAAAAAATAAAAAAATTGATGAATAGAAATATATTTTTTATTATGGCTGACGACTAACAACCTGTAACATAAATTGGTTACCATGTTCGAAATTGGACAACTTTTGAGCAAATATGTTTTTTTTTTTTCGGTTACAATTTTGTTTAAATTTTACCGAATACTTAACCAAAAAATTTATCTTATGAAAACGTTTGTTAACGTTATGTAATCCAATTAATTCATAAGTTAAAGTTCATATCTATAAGTAATCTAGTGCAAATGAGATAAGAAATTTGAACGTAAGATTTCATCAACTTTCTCTTTGAGAGAATAAAAAAAGAATAGATCCCACATTAGTATATATGTTAGAGTCACATTTCGGCAGAATTTATTGTCGAGGTTGTATGTCTTTATTTAGCGTTAACTCCAAACAACTAGGACTCCTCAAAAGTATTAACCAATGATCACCCAGATAATTTTTCCAGTCAGAAAATGCATTAGATATATACGTAAACGGTTAGGTCGTTAAGCAAATCTTGATTTCGAGAAACTTCTGATCCAATGGGCTCCAAAACTTACTAATAGGGTTGTAAATTGGTTTGTGTTATAAACTTTTTAGTGTGATTATATAAATCCTAAATTAGATTTGATTCTAGTTTTTTTTTTTTATATGAATTTGTATTCTTTGGGATGAAGGATTTCTTCTCCCTCTTATTACTATAAATAAGGGCACTACGTAATGAGAATAAAACACACATTTCCTCTACACAGTTCTATAAACATATCTCTCTCTCTTCTCTCTTTATCGCTGGCCCCCTTCCTCTTGTCAGATAAAATAGGCCACAACACATTATCAGCACGCTCTTACCGCTGCGCTTAGGATTTGACGTGGAAGCTTTTTCTGCATCAAACTAGTTCATCCATATCATCACGCAATCAGGTTCTTCCAAAACAACAGTTTTTATCTCGATATTTTTGCAGTCTTGATAGCATGAACATTCACCATAATGCATGACCCAACTCTTTTTCGAATTTTAGATTATACATAAATTGTGCATGCATTATATCCATAATTATTGAATTATGTGAATTTGATATTGCCATGAATTGCATCAAATATATGTTCATTCATTAAATTATATATACCTTGACTTAATTGAAAAAAATAAAAATAAATAAACAATCGAAAATTACTAGGGTTCTTTGAACCCATGACCTGAACCATGCAAGCCGCCAGCACCAAGCCAACAGCCTGCGTCAGCTTGGCGAGCCCAACCCAGCCACGACCCTCAAGGCAGCAAGCTCATAATCGAAATGGTGAGTTTGAGGCACCATCGTCCTAACATAGAACCCTCGGCCCGAAGCCCAGGTCCCATTCCCGTCGATTTTTTCAACGAAACACGACCGGCAGTCGTGTGATTTGGACATAACTCATCGTATTCATCAACGATTCTAGAATTTCGTGAGTTTTTTATAATCGGATTCACTCAAATCCCTTCGGTTTTCACCCTTCAACGTTGAGATTCAACCTCTGTCGTCCAATTTTGGTTCTCCGATGAACCAAAGACTTTCATCGACCATGGAACACTGCCTGAAGCAGCGCCGTTAACCATCTCCGACGGATCCCCATCTCAGCGCCGCTGGGGTGGCCTGAAGATCCAATTCGAGCCCAAACAGGCCTCGAATTCCTTTTCTTGGTCCATTCGCACAACACCCTTGTTATTAGGCATGCTTGTGCCTAGAAGCCTTGACCCACATCACCAGCCCTTTAGGCTTTGTTGATAACCCAGCACAAGAACCAGTTAAGCCTTTTTTGGGCTCTTGCCGTTTCTCCTGTGCACTACATCACACGAAATCCCAGCCTCTGCTGGTGTATGTATGTGTGCCATACCGGATGCCAACTTTGCTGAAGTATCTGTGCTCCCCACCGCACCATATCAACGTCCATTTTGGGCCTCTGGTATATTGGGCCTGAGTCCCCCTTTAGCCTGATCAGCCATTCCAGCCCATTTTCTTGGGCCTGGGCCTCATAATTTCTATTTGATTAGCCCACCAGTGGGCTTTGACCCATGTTTTTGGGCCCCAAGTTTAATTGCCTAATTATTTTAGGCCCAATGGGTTTTATAATTTTTCACCCACACTTTAAATTTGGCCGAAGTCCAAATAATTAATTCAATTATAATTATAGACTTGAAGTTCTATTTTAATATTTTCTTGTTGCATATTTCTGTATATATATTTGCATTTATTTGCAGGAACATATGAACTTGAAGTTCATAATTATTTCGAAACCTGAAATTTCTAAAAACACGCCTTGTTTGAAAACTGAAGTTTTCCTTAAAAACTGAAGTTTTCCTTAAAAACATCATCCATGAAAACCCAAAGCTTTTTCATGTGAATTTTAACCAATACATGTCTATTAGAACCTAAATGTTATACTCCTATGTGAATGGATTGATTTTTTCTCCATTACACTAATCACATTTTGTCTATTATTCTGTGATAGGAACATTTCGAATTTGAACAAACTCAACTTCACCGCTTTGGAGGTCTCTAGAAGAAACTACCTCAAGTGGGTCCAAGATGTGAAGCTTCATCTCACTGCAAAGAATTTGCGTCCCGCCATTGAAGATGAGAAGGACAACCTGGTTCACAAAGTTGAGAAAGTCACTGCCATGATCTTCATCCGAAGACATATTCATGATGCATTGCAAACCGAGTACCTTGCTGAGGAGGATGCACGAACACTATAGATCACTTTGGCTGATCGTTTTGATTACCAAAAAGACATCTTCTTGCCTGAAGCAAGACATGACTGGTAGCATTTGCGCTTCCAAGACTTTAAGTTTGTGAATGAATATAATTCTGAAGTTTGTCAAATCCGATCACTTCTCAAGTTTTGTAACGAAACTTTGACCGAAGATGATCTCCTGGAGAAAACCTATTCGACCTTCTTTGCTACTAATATTGTCTTGTAGTAACAATATAGAGCTCATAAGTTCACTAAGTTTTTGGATTGGATCTCTGTTTTACTTCTCGCTGAAAAGCAGAATCAGCTGTTGATAAAGAGTCATCAAGCTCGACCTACAGGTTAACTGCTGTGTTTGAAGCACACTATAGCACGAACCAACATCCAAAACGCCAAAA